GCGTCTGGATATGGTGGTCACGGCAAACATCCTGGGAATCGACCAACAAACTACGTAATGGAACTATAGATATCATGGTACACGTCTCCCTGGACAGGTTGTTATTGTTCTACACAAGGTTGCTTTACTCCGTCAACACACCTGAGAATATAATACAAAGCTTCCCACCAATCCCTCACCCACCAATCACCTCCTCTTGATCCAGCCCTTGGCGTTGGAAATGCCCTTGATACGCTTGGTATACTTCCAAAGGTGGCGGTACTTGGGCCCCTGTCGCTTGGCCTCCCAACCGCGCGGCTTGACGGGCGGCTTCAGGCTGTGCACACGCGTGGGCCGCAACTCGACATCGGCACCGGGGATGCCGTGGCGGGCCATGACGGCGGCCGTGTTCTCGTCCCAGACGGACCGGAACAGGCTGAAGCCAAAGGGCGCGAGGCCAAACTTATCACGCATCGACTTGAGGGAGAATCCGTCGCGTGCAGCGTACAGCTCCTTCAGCGCGGCGACGTCGACCTTGTCGCCGGCGCGCTGCTCGAGCAGGTAGATGCCCAGCCGGTGATACGGGGCGCCTTTCTGCGAAAAGGCGGGCATCCAGGGGACGGCCAGCTGGTCCTCGGCAACGATTTTGCCCAGCGGGAGAGACGTGTCGGTGGGGCTGAGGGGGATGTTGGCAGCCAGGTAGTGGCATCGCTTGGTGAAGCTGTCGCCTTCGATGTCCGGGACGTCCGAGTCCACAACGACGACGGTGACCAGGCGCTCGCCCTTGTTGAAGACTTGGACGCGCAGGCGAGGCGCATTCTCGCTGACTTGGCTGTTGACAATGTCGCCAGGGGCAATCTTGGATTGGCGAAAGTAAAGCTGCACGTCGGCGGTGGGTTCCAGCTTGGGCAGAACGTCGGGAACAATGTTGAACTGCTTGATTCGCTGGGTGATGAGGCGGTAATCGTACGAACGCCATTTCTTCTCGGCAAGGGCACGGTAAATCGGCTTGTTCATGTCACCTAAATCCATAATTGTCAGTAATCACGGAGTATAAACTCGATGCTAAAAATACCAAACTCACCCAAGCCGTCCTCGAATCGCTTCTTGACCAAAGGATCATTCGCATCCGCCAAAAGCTTCAACCGCTCAACCTCCCTCCTCAAACTCGCCAACTTGACATCCTTTATCTTTTGCCCGCCCTTGACATCGGCAGCATCCTTTGCCTCCAATTTTGCAATCTTGTCCAGCTCCGCCTTGATCTTGGCCAGCTTGTCCTCACGGTCGGCCGCCAAAATCTTACGGGCCTCCTGAAACGCCTGGTACGGTAGCTGCTCAAACGGGATATTCTGTGTCGTGCGCATGGCCATTCGTCGTCTTCTCGAGCCAATTGGCATCTTGCCAGCCTTGATCAGCTGGGCTTCGAATTCGGGAAGGACAGTAGTAGGATCGAGGTCCAAGGCGCTGGGTTCCCTGGAGGCAGCCGCAGCTTGCTCCTGGGCCTCAGCGGCCCGAGGAGCGGCCGTTGTGAATGGCCGAACGGCGCATGACTGCCGTAATTGCCTTGCGAGCGGCCGCGCGACAGCCTGACACCGCGACATTTTTTTGGCGTCTGGTTCGACAGTTATGTGGTTGTGGCTTTCAAAGCTAAAAATGCACGCCGAAATGCTACGAGTCGATAATTTGACATTGGCACGCGAGGGGCCCACTTAAATTTCGGGGTGTCGGCGCGGAACAAGCCGTTTTCCCAGCAGACGGAGAACTGGGTCACGATTTTCGAGCATCCAAACCTCCGTTCCACAAGAAAAACAGCTTGGCCGCGCAAGCCTGCACCATCAATTGGACTGTTCTGCGCCGTCGCATACAACTAATGATGGCGTCAAGGACGGGCTTAGGATGCCTGAATGAGGCAATGGCCGCACTGCGGGTGTCGGCCAAGGTGAGTTCCATCCCCATCAACATCAGAAAAGACGGCCATGCTCACTTCCCATTGCAGCCCACCACCCTCAGCAAGTCCATCTCAAGATCAATGGCCACGGAGGCGCCGGCCCGAGATCTCACCCGATCCGCAAACACACAATCCCTCGTCCAGTCCTGGAACCCAGGTACGCAGCACCCACTCCAACCGACAGACTATCCACGCAAGCTGACAGTAGCACTCGCAGTCTCAACCGTCCCCGTCACAGTCCACAGCTTCCCCTCGCTCGAACCAACCTCCCTCGAGCAGTGGTCCGTCCAGCACCTCTACCTCCCCCTCCGGCGCGACATCCTGCACCACGCAATCACCTTTGAAGGCGACAACACGCGCCAGGGCACCGCCTCCAGCAAAACCCGCTACGAAGTCCACGGCTCCCACCGCAAGGTGCGTCCTCAAAAGGGCTCGGGCCGCGCCCGCCTCGGCACCAGGCAGAGCCCCGTCCTCCGCGGCGGCGGCAAGACCTTTGGCCCCAAGCCCCGCGACTTCGGCACCAAGCTCAACCGCAAGGTCTATGACAAGGCCTGGCGAACAGCCCTCAGCTACCGGTACAGACGGGGCGAGCTGATCATCTGCGAGGACGGGATGGAGCTCGCCCTGCCGCCGGACTTTGAAATGCTCGCCGACAAGTACATGCGGGACGGGCTGCGGGAGACGTACCTCCAGAAATACATGACGGGCGTTTTACGCACGCTGGGTCTGGGGCGCGCCGACGGACGGACGCTGTTTGTCACGGGCGATCCGAGGGAGAGGCTGTACGAGGCCATGGAGCAGGTCCCGTGGGAGGGGCGGGCGCTCGACGTGGAGGACGTGGATGTCAAGGACCTGTTGGAGACGGGCAAGGTTGTCATGGAGAGGAGCGTCTTGAAGGAGATGATTGAGAGGCATCAGAGCGACTTGATCACCCGCATCGCGGTCGGCGGGCTGGCCAAGAGCGCTCCTTCAACTGGCCAGGTCGTGTTGTGAAACCCAGAGGCCGGACGCATCAATGTACTACTATATGTCCCTGTATTCAAAATATTCCCCCGGTAATGCATAAAATCTCACCGGCATTCAACCTCTCAGTGACGCAAGAATCGACTGCTTGTCTTCATGTAGATCAAGGTAGAATATACAAATAGCCCCCCACCCCCAAATGCAGCCCTTCTATACTGGGTATCAAGTCTATAACAAGTCTACAACGCACCCTACAATGCACCACCCACCAACGACACAATCCACATTGCTATTCTCACCTGCAGCCCAACCCTCCTCTCGTTCTTGGCAAAGTCATCCCGCGTCACTCTCTTCGAATGCTCCTGCAACCAGCTCTGCTCATCGCCCAACTGTCTCTTCAACGACTCATCCCTCGTCACGATCAGCGCGCCAACCTCCAGATCATGCGAATAGCTGCGCTTCGTATAATTCGAACTGCCAATGATGCTCATCGATGGAGACGTCTCGCCCGGCATCGTCACCCAGAGGCCCTTGGCGTGATATGTCCATCCGCCAACGTGGCCCGCCGTCCCTAGCCGCCACTCCTTCAGAACAATGTCCTGGTCGCGGCGGCTTTGGCTGATGTTGTCCAGGAAGCGGCGGGCGAGAAGGACGTACGCGTCGGGGAGGAGGCCCGAAACACCCTTTGACTTGTAGAAGCCGTTTGCTTCGGGGGCGGCCGTAATGACGGTGTTGTTGGTGGATGCTGTGCCGATGAGGAGTTTGGTCAGCGACGGCGCTGGGTTGAAATAGCCGGCTGTAAAGGTCCACGACGAGCCGCGATATTGAGGCAGGGCGAGCTGTTTCAGGATGTGTGTAATGACAGGCAGTTCGGTAGACTGGTCCGGTTTCATGACTTGGGAGAATTGCCCCAGCATGTACACCCTCGTATTGCTAAAGTCGCCCTTGGGCAGCTTTTCTGCTTGGGGCGCAACCAGTGCCTTCAACGTCTGGCTCGAGCTCTTGATGAAGGACTGCGGATCCTCGAGGGGACATGGCGCAGAGTTGGTCCGAGGCCAAGTGAGCGTGAATCCGGCATCCTCCCGCGAAGGCTCAACCAGAAAGCTAAACGACGCAACTCCGCTATGAATGCGCCAAAAGTGTTGGGTAACCTCTCCGGACGAAAATAGGTGGTACCTATCCTGTCTGTTGGTGAAGTAGTCCGTGGAGAGATTCGCACTACCGAATGTCAGCGCCCTGCCTAGTTCATGTCGAACCTTGCCGTGCTCACCCCGACATGATGATTTCGTCATCGACACCATAGAGCTTCATGTGCTGCAGACCCCAGCCCTCGTTAATCCTCTTCGGGATGTACTTCTTTCTCAATCCCGTCAAGTTCGGCGTGTGGTACATGCGGATCTCGACTCTTTCTGCGCCAAACTCCGTAACGAGCGGTGCCAACAACGACGCGCACGATGAATCAGGTGCCTCTCTCGTACCGCGCAGACCGTCTGTCAATATGTCAAGTTTCAGCTCTGGGTTGCGCGAGAGTGCATCTCTTAGGGTTTCGATAAGCTCCTTCTCGGATTTTCCGATGTAAAGAGTTGATAGGAAGATTCGTCGTTTGGCATTGCGTATGCGGTCCTATATCAATTAGCATCCATCTGCGGCGTCCAGCTCCATGTGCACGGCAGTACAGCAGTACCGTACCTTCAAGGTTTCGTAGAATTCCGCCGGCGTTCTAATGACACGAATATCCTCCCCTCTCAGATCAAAGCTCGGCGCCATGCGATCCAACTCGCTCACGATTGGCACCAGCGTTCCTATATGAAGGCCATTGCTCGGCGCAACAACAGCTCCTGAAGGCGCACTGCCAAAGGACCTGCGCTGCACCCGTGCTGAGTACACATTTGTCCGTAGTGCACTGGTACGTGGCCGAGCCAGGCACCTCGTGCAGGTGCGTGCAAGCATTCCCAGCAGAATTTACGCAATCCCGTCAAGGAATGCTGCAACTTTTCGCAGCTCTCTTCCCGTCACAAGTTTGGTGCTGTGGAGTTTATATCCCTGGTACTGCATCTGAGCCAACTTACTCACCCGTTGAACCTTTCCCATTGGACGGCCCATCTACCCGATGTTTCCCCGGTCCATCCTACAACTCGGCTCTGAACCTCCAACGTACAGTTCCCAAGCCGTCTCATCGATCTGCCGGGCAATTGTCAACCGCCAAAATGTCGACTCTTCCCCGTACATTGAGCAACCTGCGCAAGGTTGGCATCAAGGTTCGTCTTCTCCCTGTTCAATTGCTACCCAGAAGCTAACTTGTGTAGGATTACTTCCGCCAAATGCTGGTACGTTTTGCCTGCCCGGACGCTCGATCCAGAGAATGAACAGGTCTACTAACCTCGTTCTTCCCTGCAACAGTATATCGGTACAGACCAATCTCAATCAACTGCGCACGGCCACCGAAATCGAATTGACCGGCTAACTGATGTGCAGGCGACACCAAATACGGCCGCCTGGTAGGCACCGATCGCGCCGGCAACAAATTCTTTGAAAACATGGAAGAATTACCCCTCCGTACACGCTGGGTCGAATACGCCAAGCACGACTACGACGCCGCTCAGATCGAACCCGGCTGGCACGCATGGATCTCGTACTCTGTGGACAAGCCGCCCACCGAGGATGCGTTGATCGCTACAGGCTTGAGGAAGTTTGAGAAACCATATGCCATTCCGAACTATACTCAGACTAGGGCCGCGTTCAAGACGTACAGCACGTAAGTCAACTCCCAGGAGGAGCACAGTCAGCAGTAGTTATGTGTCAGGATGGGTGCTGATTATTTCGAATAGGACCAAGCCCAAGGTTTCGGCATGGGAGCCCGTTGCTGCGCAGAGGACGTAAATGGTTTCGAGAGGCGGGTTGTACATATGCATTGTAGAAATAGATGATGGGCTATCGAATTACAAAATTTCCTTTATTATGCGCATTTCTCAATCAAAGTTACGACAATTGTTGTATTTCAAGTTGCACATCACGAGCCGATCCGATATTTGACGAGCTAACTAAACGAACATTTCACAAGCACCGCACTCGATGCACAGAGAGTATCAGCCATCAGGTCCATTGCAGCCATAAATATTCACCAGGACATGACACTCCAAAGCAACATATTTTTCAACATGTACTGCCGCCAAACTCTAACAGTTTCTAGCCATCTAGCTCATCTACTGTCACTATCAAAACACCAAAATGCGCTAAATCTCAACTCCCGTCATGCGTGCTCTACATCTTAGCTTCAATCGCTGTCTTGATTGCTGCAGGGAGTTAGCAAATTGTTACATTTCCTTGAGTCGGTAAAGCATACCTTCGCAAGTGTTCCTTGCATCACCAAACAACATCTTTGTGTTGGGCATGTAAAACATAGGGTTCGGAACATCGGCTATACCAGTTAGCTCAGTTCAACCATTTCGACGAGAAATACGTACCATATCCACTTGCCATGCCTCTCTTCATCACTACAACTTGCTTGCTCTTCCACGCATGCAGCACAGGCATACCCTCTATCGCACTGCCCTTCTCCATAGCAATGGGGTTCACAGTGTCGTTGGCACCAATGACAACAGTCAAGTCAGTGTCGGGGAAGTCGTCATTGATTTCGTCCATTTCCAGCACAATGTCATACGGGACACTGGCTTCGGCAAGCAAAACATTACACTGACCCGGCATTCGGCCTGCCACGGGATGAATAGCGAACCGGACAGTGATGCCCTTGGATCGCAAATGCGAAACAATTGACGAAATTGCGTACTGGGCCTTTGCCACAGCCATGCCATAGCCAACAACCAGAATCACTGATTCCGAATTCAGCAGTGCATCTGCCAGCTCATCCACGTTTGTTTGCGTGACTTCTCCTTGGGGCTTGAATTCTTGCACTGCTGTTGGTGTTGACAGCCCGCCAAACAAGACATTTGTGAGTGACCTATTCATTGCCACGCACATAATGTACGACAGGATAGAGCCGGATACGCCGATCAGCGCTCCAACACTGGTAAGGAGTGGGTTATCCAGCATGAAGCCCTCAGCTACAAGGGCGAATCCGCTGTAGGCATTTAGCACGGTGATGACAACGGCTAGACTCGATTAGCATGCTTCATTAAATGTAGAGTGTCTGCACACATACGCATATCGGCACCACCAATTGCGGCAGTCGTAGTGTAACCCTTGACGAAACTAAGTGCCGTGTTTGCAGCAAGAGCACCTGCAGCAATCAAGGGACTGCCCGGCGCCATGGTGATGAAGGCGCCCATTGTAGCCATATTAGTAGCGAGCAATCCCCCATTTATCACATGTCGGCCAGGAAGAATCGTGGGTTTAGATGACATCTTGCCCGCTAGTTTCATGAACGCGACGAGAGAACCAGTGAAGGTAATGCCACCTACACAATGTTAGCCAACAATCCAGAGAGAAACAGTAGGAATGCCTGCTACACACCGATAAGAACACCGAGATATGCAGTAACCAAATGCAAGGTTGAAATATCCGTAACGTCAGCCATAACACTACCAATACTGGTCAAGACAGCAGCCAAACCAACCACGGAGTGTAGCGCAGCAACTGTCTGTGGAAGGTCGGTAGGCGTGATTCGCTTGCCTATTAGCATTCCTGTGATCCGTCAGCATATGGGCTCGAGTAGTCAAGCCGGAATACCTACCAGCTAATGCACCAACAGTGGCAAGTGCTCCAAATTGAGTCAGAACTTCAGGCGAAAATCCAACAGCGAGCAGGCTGGCCAAAACACCGGACCCGACACCTAGAATGCCGAGCATGTTGCCCATACGGGCAGTGGCCTGAGAAGCAAGACCAGAGATTGATCCAATGCAAAGAACGGAGCTGATGAGATATCCGGCTTGAACAAGTCCAGCAGCCCCAGTAGACGCAGCAGCAATAAACCCTCCACCAAAAAGAGCTGCAGGCACAGCATACAGCCAGGGGTACTCGGGGGGGTCGGTCGGCCCTGTAAATGTTAACATTTCAGCACTGACAAGCACCGAACCTGATGAGACGTACGCTTAAACATATCCAGCATTCGTTTGGTAATTACGAATCCGCCACCAACATTGACAAAGGCAAGCAAAACGCTCAGGGCACCAAATACTTGAGGAATCGTCTCAGGAACATAACCGCCTCCCAGGATGAAAAGTCCACCAACGCCAACCATGCCGGAAATAGCATTTGTAACGCTCATGAGAGGAGAATGCAGTGCGGGAGCAACTCCCCAAACAACACGATAACCAATCAAACTAGCCAAACCAAAGGTGAAAGCATTGGACATGAAGAGCGGACCAGTAAACTTTCCCAAGGCGAGCACGCTTCCCATACCAGCGGTAACAGTTGCAACCTCTCGCGTCTTCTTCTGCCAAGGAGTGAGCTCGACAACCTCCACCACAGGCTCAGCGGTAGGTTTCACAGCAGCTGGGGGCGGAGCAGGCCGGGGAGCAGGGGGCAGAATTTCACCATTCTGGGTAACAATTGAGCCGCGCACAACTTCATCTGATAGGTCAATTCCGAATTCCTTGTCTTTGGGGGCCATTGAAAGCAGGAACTTGGTGATGTTATTCGAGTAGAGGGTCGAAGACTGGGTCGGCAGGCGTGAAGGCAGATCGGTGTATCCTGCATCTACGTCAATACCACGAAAGGCGGCGACGGGCCACATTTTGCAGACAACTTTGAACTCACCAATAATTTTGACGTCTTTATACATTGCCAACTCGCCCTTTTTGGTAGCTTCGCAGTTACCGCCAGCCTCGGCTGCGAGATCAACCACGACGCTGCCAGGTTTCATGACATCCAGCATGTCAGTTTTAATAAGCTTCGGAGCAGGCTTGCCAGGGATAAGGGCAGTGGTAATAATAATGTCAACCTCTTTGGCTTGGTCCTTGAAAAGCTTCATTTCAGCTTCGATAAATTCCTTGCTCATTTCCTTGGCATAACCACCGGCTCCGGAGCCATCTTCCTGGATGTCAACCTCGATGAATTCGGCGCCAAGCGACTGCACCTGCTCCCTGGCAGCAGGTCTGGTATCAAATCCACGAACAATGGCGCCCATTCGTCGAGCTGTAGCAATCGCACTCAGACCAGCGACACCTGCACCAATGATTAGGACCTTGCAAGGGGGGATCTTGCCAGCAGCAGTAACCTGGCCGGTCAAAAATCGTCCAAAAACATTAGATGCCTCCAAAACAGCCTTGTAACCAGCAATATTTGCCATGCTACTGAGGGCGTCAAAAACCTGCGCTCGAGAAATTCGGGGAATCATATCCATGGCAAATATGGTTGCTTTGCGGTCTGCAATCTTTCGAACCAGATCCTGGTTCTGGGCGGGTTGGAGGAGAGAAATGACAGTCTGCTTCTCCTGAATAGAGTCAACCTCGTCCGTGGACGGACTGCGAACCTTGAGAATAACATCAGATGCGGACCACACGGCCTGTGGGCCGTCAACCAAGGTAGCGCCGGCCTCTTCATAGGCCTCGTCGAGGAATTCGGCCTGGGAGCCAGCACCGCGCTCAACAATGACCTTTTTGAAGCCCTTCTTGAGCAAAAGTGCGACATTGGCCGGCGTCAAGGCAACTCGACGCTCACCGGGGTAGGTCTCCCTGGGCACACCAACGGTAAGTTGACCATACGGTGTCGTCGGAGGTATTACAGCTGTAGAATTCTGTTGTGCTCCGACTTCCGGAGCTGTTGTCGTTACGACAGAAGCATGGCGAACCAGTGCCAGGGACTTGCGAGTCACGGACGGAACCAGAGCCCGCTGCTTGGCTTGTCCAGGGGTATTGTGCCACTGGCGGCGAGCACAGGACAATGGACGCACATCTATACCTCCGAAATCGGCGCGGTTAGTCAGTTGTTGTCAATGGAGTTCATAGTATGCAATTGAGGCAATAGAAATCGCAGAGAGCAAGGAGAAGAGAGAGAAAAAGGTAAATGTAACCTTTGAGTCGGAGACGGCCTGGCGCGAAGCGAGCAACGGTTAAAGAGGAATAGCAAAGCTCAGACGAGAGCGGGCGGAACGCGTTCGACGCCATCATGACAGAACGGTCATCTGGTAGTGGTCTTCATGGAACTGCGTCGCGCAGGGTCAATGCTTGAGGGACGACGCGCCTGAGTGTTGTTCTGTAATAAAATTACTCGGTACTGGGTAGTTGGTGGGAAAAAAACAAGTGTCACGAGGGCAATGCTGAGCTTGTAAACGCACAAAGCATAGCCGAGACGAAGATGAAAGGGATGGCACCCAAGACGGAAATCAAATGCCAGGCCACTTGCAAACAGCAACAGAAGCTGTACTATTGCGACCTTGACTTCTTACTTGAGTCAAGAAGACGCAGAGAGGTCTAGGCGAAGCTATTAAAGGAGGGGTAGTCTTGAAGTGGTGGACGTCAAGTTGGAGGACGGAGGCGGCGCTTCAGACCTGAGAGTGGCATGTCGGACGCACTTGACAACAGGGCAGGAGCGGCTCGTTGGCGCCTGCCAGGCTGGGACCAGTGCCGAAACAAGTAGCACAGGTACACGAGTACGGGATATTTTGGTACCGGGGTACTTGCGTCTGGTGCTCAGGACTTGGCACCATGGGCTTCAATGTTGGTCAGCCGGACGGCAAGTTGCATGTAACATCAAACCTCAAACAGCTCAGTCAAGCCGTCCGTGCCGTATTTCATTGCCATTCACGCAGTGATATTCCATCTACGCCGTCACCAGTCCTTTCTCGGTCCGAAGACAAAGTTGCATGCATTCAAGCGCGTCAAGGTGGTCTCAATTGCCTCGTTACCTTACCCAACGTTACCTAGCGCAGGTGCATTCTGCACAGGTGCCCAGGTACCCAAACGTCCAGGTACTCCGTACTTGGAGGGCGAGTCGAGGTGAGCTGGTGCGGGGTTCCAGGGGTCTGCGGGCAGTGTGGGGCGTCTTGGCACGAGGCACTTGAGTCTTTGGTGTGCAAATCCTCCGCAAACCTGGGGAAAGCATCCGAGCCACGGCCATGCAACACCAGCACTTTGCGTCTGCCACCAAGTTGTACACCATTCCGCCTGTTCGGCGTGTGTTCCATGCATCCAGCCTCAAACAAGGTCGCTCGACACCGTTCAACACACCGACACGCTGCAGGGGGTGCGGTACCACGTCGGGTCAACATCTCGGCTCCGTACGGAGAACGACTTGTCCTCGCCTTGACGCCGACGGACCATTGCGCCATGGCGTTTTGTCTTCTGGATCGGTATTCCTTGTCTTTCAGAGCTTCCTCTTTTGGATGACTGGTAACTAACCTACCAGCCCAGCTGTGACAAAGCCACAATGCTCGGCCATGCGTGTCCATCCATGCCGCAGCTCGACACGTCGGCGTGCTATTTGCAACTGCAGAGCTGCCATTCGATGAATTGATAGGCAACATGGCATGGTCATTCAAACCGACTCTCGTGTTTCTCAGCAGCCATTGTATCTCACTGTCATTTCGCTACCAACTCAATATCCCAAAACTGTACCGCCTCCGTCCACGAAGAAACCGGGTCTCTGTGCGGTCTGGCAGCAACTAGGCAAGTCCTCCCCTCGCCAAAATCACACTCGGAACAGCCATAAACGCATGAAGTACCTCGTCTACACACGTGAACCAAAAATTGCCCACCATGTTCTCGTGTAGATCAAACCTCCTGCCGTTGTTCCTCACAGACGGTCCCATGATCTTGACCCCTAGCTCCGGCACAGTTATAAGATCCACTTGCCGCTCACTATCAGGGACGAGCTTGACACGACCAATTCGTCCCCCTTGCCTGCTTGGAAGGGATGAGACGCACCGACTATTCCGCCGCGGTAGAACGTCCTTAAGCGCGCTTCGTCAAAGGCTTCCACAAAGTCGAGGTCAGGTCTGCCGGGCCTCTCATTCTGAATGACCAGCGTCGACGAAGATGCGGCGAATTCGAATCCCCCAGGGGGCTCTCGCCCACTTCACTTTCCATGTGTTAGAATCTTATTCACAATCAGGGCTTCCGTCACGCAAAAAGGGCATGGTTGTTGTATAGGTCGCCTACGTGCGGCAGAGGTAGGCAACGACGGCGTTAGGGCTAACGCTAATCTTATCTGCGTATTTTCCCTGGGTTTCTCGAGCGAGAGGGGCGCTTCGAGATAAGCATGGTCTATAGGCTTGACGACCAATTTCCAACCTGGTGATTGAGTTTGTTGTACCAGATGGTGAATTGTTCGGCTCGGTATACTTCATTTCACTATATAGGTAAGCAGGCTACTCTATACAATAGCACAAATACAACAAAGGACTCACAAATCGAATGGCCAGCCAACTTAAATACTCTCGCGGTCGGTTGTTGAGAAACAACCGTCCCATTGTAAAAACGCCTGTTAGGCCCAATCAACCCGGTTATCACAAACACCCCATCTCCCAAAGTGCTCACCTTCAAATTGCTGACTGGCGCATTAAGCGTAGCGGTTATGTGCGGCTCCCGCCTTACATCGCTTTCATTCGCAATGTTGACTCGGGTGATGCCCTGGTCACCGGATTTGAGATTCTGTCAGATACGCCAGCTCGCCACGCGTGCCCGGGATCCAATTGGCATCATGTATGCCGTCTTCGTCCGTAATCCCTATACATGTATTGCTCTTGATAGGCAGCATGCGCAGTTCAGTCGTCACTCTCACTCCAATCTCGTGAGCAGACACGGTGAAGAGGGTAAGTCTTCCGTTGGCGTTGGGCCGGACTGCGACGCGGAGCCGGATGAGTGTCTCGGCTGTTAGTTTGACGACGCAGACCACGGCGGAGCGGCTTTTTCTGAATGCGAACGTTTATCCAAAACACCGCCGTCTATGCAGCTTCAGATTGTGAAATAGAAACGAGCGCAGTGCTCAGCCACAGGCAACAATAGGTAGAATGGCCCATTGGCGTCGCGGTTTAGTAGAGCATCCTGCTCTCAGCATGACACCTCGGAAAGCCCTGGCGTCGAGCTTTCAATATGCGCAGGATACTGTAATGGCAATCGCGGCACAAAGAAAAATGCTCAATTTGAATTACGGGTGAAGGCATTCAGAGCGAAAGCCGCATTGCGTTCCAAAGCCTGGAGTCCAGCTGCGAAACCTATTGGAGGATATTCCGAGCCCAACTGCTCGGCTCACTCCGTACCCTTATCCAGTTTATCGTCATTCTACTGATGCGCATTCATATGCAATTGGGGGTTTGCTCTCCCAAGCAATGGCCACTGACCTTAGACATACAACACATTATAATCTCCAACTGGTCATGGCGGTGAGTTTTGTCGGCCACAGAGGGGTGCAACCGTCAATAAGACCGATAACATCAAACCCATCACGGGAGTATTCATAACTTCGAAGCCATATAAACTGGTCGCCATCTGTCCCTGGTACCAACCACGAATCCAGGGCTTCATAACAGCAACACCGCTTCGTCCAAGTCTCAACCCTCACATCCGCCAATAACGGTTGCCTCCAAGACGCTACTATCCCTCCCTCTTCTCCTAGCCGGGGTAAATAAAGCCCGTCACGCATCTCTCATCAGCCCGATGGTAATATCTTACATCGCAGGCGCGCGCAGCGCCAGGTTCTGCCTCGGCGGTCGTAGCTCCCATCCCAGGCTATACCATCACTGGAAATATTCCCAAGCCAGTCCAAGAACTTTGCCGGCACCGTCGAGAAGGTCCGCCGTCAAGGGACGCAGCTGAACCCAAGATGGGAGCAGGACGTGGTTGCCAAGCACGAGCCTAAAGATGCCAGGGCTTCTCTCGACAAACGCTACATCTTCTATCAAGTTCACTGCCGGCCTCCCGGCTGGAAACTAGAAGAATACGAAGCTATTGGGTCGGGAATAGCGTATCTGAAAACACTCCGCGGCAGCCCTAAGAACTGGCCTGGCCCAGGCGCCTGCGGCCGAGCTGGCTGTTCGTATGATTCGGCCATATAGTGGTGCAAAGATATAAGTGCTCTTCTCATAGGCAGCATAAATTTCAAGCCAACTGGCATAGAACCGCGAGGCATTTGACGTCTCAAGTTGGCTGGACATTGTAGGTGGTACCGGAGAAATCTTCCCAAAGTGTAAAGAAAGCGACAGATTGCTAGGTCAGGCGTTCGCAGAGCAGCATTGGAACGTAATTATCCAGAAGGATACGAATAATTGCTAGTGCTTCGAACCGTTTTCGGCCGACTCGTCCGTATCAATGTGGGTGTGGCAGCCGCAGTCCTCTCCATTGTTATCTTCTACAGATATGTATCGGGCCGATGCGGATTGATAGAAAACAATGGAGGACGGGATACAGGTCGAGTTGGTATTGGTACGGGGAAGTTCTGCCCATAGCGTTTAGGGTTAAAGGGGTGGTTGGCACGAGTTATGTGAAGCAGTATTAATATACGCACTTTTGCAAAACATGTCCACGCCTGTCCTTGTTCTGCAGGCGAGCTAACGGCTAGTAAGAATAACCCCTCTGGGTGGCTTTTACTCAGTAAATAAGAGCTTTAGAACGACAGGATACCATCTACAATAGTTTCTACATCGTACCTCGACGGCCCCAGTGAAGCGGTCATGGGTTGCAGGATTTGATACGACGATTTGCAAAAGCTTCACGGCTACATTTCAAATGAAAAATGAAAAATAATACAATTTAAATGCAAATATTTCATGAATTTTCTAGAAGCAGCATGAATCAAAACTCGCGGCTCAATCAATTGAGGCGATGATGCATTGCTACCCTACATACAAGACGTGCAGTTGCCCCCATGGCTGCAATTGCATATTCTGTAGGGACAACACTTCATCTGCTACCCATTCCAAGTCAAATAAACAAGAAAAATTAAAATTAATTGGATTAACTTGGGTTTCTGGAGCCATTGCTAAACTAAGGCAGTCCTCAACACCACAGTACCCCCCCCTAGCTTAAACTCTCATACCAGTCTGTGACTCTCTGCTTTGATACATGCGACGCTCAGCACGGCTGTTCCAATTTCTTTTGCTCACATCATCATGCCTTGCACTGCCCGGCGTGGCACGGCGTCTCGCACCTCCCGCGGAAATCCGGCCCAACGACCAAGCACTTGTCGCACCCACACAGCAAGTCCAACTGTTTCCCGTACTTCTGTCCAGGGTCCTCACAAAGGCAGATATATAAGGCCGAGTTGACGCTTGTGCTCGGCTTGCCGCTGTTGCAGACGGCGTTTTGGGTGGCGCAGTATGCCTCTTCGAGCTGCTTGGTGGTCCACGGCTTCTCTGTCCAACGCGTTAGTGATACAGTATTTCCCTGGGTACTATAGCCTTTGCACAGGCTGAGTTTGAGACTTGCTCATGGCCATGAGGACTGATGCACAGTATGTATAACCGCATTCGCAGTAGGTTCCGCCGGGTGTCGTGGGCGCCGGGGTGGTGGACGAGTTGGGCGCGATGGACGTATCTGTGATACGGGGGGATGCGAGAGCAAGGGTGAGGATGGAAATGAAAGGAAGAGCCTTCATGTTGAAGTTTTTTATTGCGATGACGTTTGGTATGAGTGAAGGGTTGTAGATGGTGTTCGCCCTGGGTGCGGTGAATGAGAATGGAATGGGTCAGGAGAGACGACAGCAACGAGATGAGACCGAATACCTCTATATATAAATATTGTATTCCTTCACGTCAGAGCTTGTATCAGGCCTTTGACCGCGTTGTTTGCAGAATTGTGTAGACTTGTTTGTGCAAGACTCTGTCGTTCCACATGGAGTTGTTGGCGGACAAGCAAGTTTGCAGTCGGTAGATGGTGCCTCTCGGAGTCTCGGACCATTGCGAGTAGGGAAGACAAACCGGCATGTCTGGTAAGTTTATAATACGCCATGGCGTTAAAACTCAATCGATTGGTGATGAGAGCTTGGGAATAGAAGCAGTTTTCAGAGTCAAGCTGAGAATCGTTTCGGCAATGTCACTGTTCTGTCCCCCACCACTTGCAGCTAACCCGACGGCCGTCAACGGCCGTCAAACTGCCCCGCCAACTCGGTGTCAGTCCAGATCAAGTTACCCCTCCATGCACGCACTTTTCCAACTCTGCCGAGCACAAACGTCTCGGCTCCGACAGAAACTACCTCGAGGTCGGCCAAGGCGACAGCAACCGCAAAAGACTTGCAAACTACGACAACACAAACCGACCGCCATGGCGCCATCGACAATCACCGTCGGCACGCGCAAGTCGCCCCTCGCCATGGCCCAAGCCGAGCTCGTTGTCGCCTCGCTCCAGTCCATCTTCCCCTCGTCGTCATTCCCTATCCACGGCATGACCACCACCGGCGACCGCGACCAGAACACGGCCCTCTACAACTTTGGCGGCAAGGGCCTCTGGACCACCCAGCTCGAGGAGAAGCTCGTCGCCCGCGAGCTCGACATTGTCGTCCACTCCCTCAAGGACATGCCCACCACCCTGCCGTCCGACTGCACCCTCGGCGCCGTCACCAAGCGAGAAGACCCGCGCGACGTCCTCGTCCTGAAAAAGGCCCTGCGCGACGCAAACGGTTACAAGACCCTCGCCGACCTGCCCGACGGCAGCGTCATCGGCACCAGCAGCATCCGCCGCATCGCCCAGCTGGCGCGGCGCTACCCGGCCCTCCGGTTCAAGGACGTGCGCGGCAACATCCAGACGAGGCTGAAGAAGCTCGACGAGGACCCGGAGCTGAGCGCCATCGTGCTGGCCGCCGCCGGGCTCCTGCGGATGGACCTCGGCGAGCACATCTCGCAGTACTTGGACGTGGACAATGGCGGCATCCTGCATGCCGTCGGACAGGGTGCGCTGGGCGTCGAGTGCCGCGCGGGCGACGAGCACGTGCTGCGGGCCCTGAAAGAGATTGAGCACAAGGACACGCTGCTGGCGTGTCTGGCCGAGAGGAGTCTGATGAGGGAGCTCGAGGGCGGGTGCAGCGTGCCGATTGGCGTCGAGACCAGGTGGGTGGATGGCAAGCTGAGACTCAGGGCGACGGTTGTTTCCGTCACGGGCAAGGAGGGCGTCGACGCTGACGTCCTAGAGACCGTCACGTCGGAGGAGGAGGCCGAGGAGCTGGGCAAGAGGGTGGCCAGGGACCTGGTGAGCAGGGGAGCCGACAAGATTCTCGACGCCATCAACAAGGCTCGCCCCGAAGAAAAGTGACGGTGACAAAGTGGCATGGTGTGGCAAGGCAAACAGGTCCAAAAGCGGAAAGAGTTTGCTAGCAGATTCGTCTTGCAAGCAATAAAGGAGTACGCTGCCAGAGATGCCGGCGTATTCGCTTACCAGATGGCACCAAGACTCAATTGTATGATACACAACACAATGTTGCAGCGACAATGTTTGTTCATGCTTGTCAAATATCTCTTTTACCCAGTGCTAGGTTGAACTGCGTCCAAATGTTAAAAAAAAAACAAGACAACAAATGAGAGATTCCATGGAATCCCGTTGATTTCCCACGCATTTTATAGTAGAGTCAAAAAAGCACGATTCGTCTATATATGCCCCTTGCCCCCAAAACAACATGTCCACACTGCACCTCCACTCGGCGACACATGTAGCTTTACTCCGACGTGAAAGTCTTGTAGGCCTCGGCATCCATCAGCTCATCAAACTCCTTGGCACCCTGCTCGTCGACCTCGACCTTGACGATCCAGCCGCCGCCATTGCTATCGTCCTCGGGGACCTGGTTGATGGTGGAGGGCTTCTCCTCCAGCAGCACATTGCCCTGGACGACCTTGCACTTGATGGGGGCGTTGATGTCGCTGGCCGACTTGACGGACTCGACGGCGCCAATGGCGTCACCGGCCTCGACAAAGTCGCCCGTGGTCTCCGGGAGCTCGACGTAGACAACGTCGCCGAGCTGGTCGGAGGCGTACTGGGAGATGCCAATGGTGGCGGATTTGCGGTCGGCGGAGAGGTCGACCCATTCGTGGTCCTTGGTGTACTTCTTGGCGAGGGCTGTGCGTGCGACATTGTCAGCAAAAAAAGGATTCTCTAATGGACAGGTTCATGATGCGGCGGAGAGCTTCTTTTGGTGTTTCCTTGTTCTTTTTCTCGTGCTGTTTCTTTGTTTCTCCCCGTGTCTGTGGTGTTGGAACCTACCCATGCGAGAAGTCGTAAAGGTGCGGACAGCAGCGCGGGGAGCAAAGCGCATAACCGCGGGCCGGGCGACGGCGCGCAAAGAGCAGGCAATTGAAGCCATTGTGTCCGGGTCGGTGTCGGGGCGAGAGGATAATGGGTGGGTGTGAATGACAAGGAGAGATTTGTCTTGTTGGACGGTTGAAACTGCTCACAGGCAGGCCAGAGCAAGAAGGCTTTTTTTCTGAGGCCGGAGGAAGAGGAAGGTTGAAGGACGTAGCCGACCTCCGGCGGCGTTGGCATGGGCGTCTGCGGCCCCGGGCTGTTGGAGCAGTGAGTGGTCAGGCCAGAGCAGGTGAAGGATATTTCTTAGTCATCCTTGCATGTGGTGCCAATTATTTGCGGTTCTGCGGCCGAAGCCGCCTACACACTAAATACTGGGTACTTGGCTGCTAGGGAGGTGTTACAGCAGCCTCTGGGCTCAAATTCAGCGCTTCAACGTGGCCAGGCCGATGCAAGCCTTGGGCCATCTGGAGCAGTCATCTGGACGGGTCGGTGTGGGGAAGAGACCAATCACGGCATTGGAAACATAATAGTTTGCTCTGGGCCTTGTCCTCTTGGGGATGGAGGTTACGGGCTGCGAGGGTCCTGTACGTAAAGAGAATTGGAGACGGGAGCCGTTTTCGAGACGAGGCACTCGGATCCAAGCGAATTGGCGGCATCGGACCGCGCTGCGCTGGTTTGCAGTGGCGTGATAGCCGCGACGGATTGGAGTAGTAATGGAGAGCCGGAGAAATAATTTCTCCTGCACATGCACGGTTCGTTTCCCCAAGACTCCCCAAGGCCTGCAAGACCTTTCCCTGTCGCCGGTGGTGGTTATAAGTATTGTATCAGTTGACGTTTATGCGCATGACAACCCATTGTTTATCTGCCTTTGAGCAATCCAATGAATAGGCCGGCATCAAAAAAGTAAACAAAAGCCCAACGATGAGTGCTCGGCTCCCTTGGGCACGGCTGCAGTGCGCCGCGGCGTCGCAGCATGCTACACTCGCTGCAGACAACGATTGATGGTGCCCGTGTCTTACAAGCTGCCACCAGCGGTCGACGTCACGTCAAGCACGTCAAGGTCACGTCGCAGCCCGCTCCGTTCAAGCAAGGCCCCAGGGCGCACAGCAGAGAACTGGCAGCAGTGGCAGCGGAACTCGAAGCACAATCTGTGCATGGCGTGGGTTTTATCATCTCGAGCATCTTTTTTTTGGCCGCCTTCGAAATGGCGGCCGCACATGCCCCAGGCTGGCGCCAGCGTCCAATGTTGGGCGTTTTCCCGCCCCAACGCCCAATGGTTCCTGCCCATTCAATGTTCTGACTGGCTGCTGCTCACGTGCTGGCTGGGCGCTCACCATTCATCACTGCTCAGGCGTGGGCTCCCACTGATTCACGTTCCACTGGCTTCAATGTTCCACTAGCGGGCATCCAAAGCCCACAACTTCGCTCCAGATGTCCTGGCGTCCCTGGCGAAATGGCCTCTGTCCACTGTCTGGTGCTGCTGACGTCTGGAGCATTGACACCAGACCAGACACGCCAGTTGCCGTCTATGTCGCATTTGATCCTGCCCCTTCCTGTTCCTGTCCCTGTCCCCGTTCCTGTCTGTGCCTGGTCGACTGGCTGGTCTTGCTTGCACCGCCTTCGCAACAACCTCTCTCGACTTCATTGTCAAGATTCAATTCCCATTCCCCTCCCGTCCGAACCCCTCATCTTTATTGCCAACCCCCGGCCGCATCTCGAGCCACCGCCATCACATCCGGAAATAAACTCATCATCTGCCTTGTCGACCACCTTCGACCCTGCCCTCACCCCGACGAGCCATTGTCAAGCCTCACCCTTGCGCTTGGCCTTGCCCGCTGGGCGTTGCGGTCTTGTGTGGTCTTGTCGTTGTCTGGGTGGTGTTTACCCGTCGATCTCTCCGCAGCAGCTGACATCCTGGCCACACCTTGAACCTTGATCCGTCGACCAGCTTGACTAGCAACTACGCCATTGTGTATTTGCATGTGTCCCACTAGCTGAAGTCAGACCGTGACGTCCATTTCCGCCTCTCCCTTTCTCACCCTCGTCCGACGCTCTGCATCTACGGTGCTTGCATCAAAACCGTCTCCCCATTCGACCCCTGGTATTAGACGGGCCGTTCATTCCATCGACACCCATATCCATCTGGGCATCTCAAGCTGGATTCTTCAACAGATCCTGTTGCGGCCGCCGCACCCCTCGAGCACGCGGCTTCGGTCGACGACATGGAAATGGACCACCAGGTGCCAGCGACACCTGTCCAGGGCCACGACGATACACTTGGCGGCATCGAAGGCTCTCCCCATATTGCTTCTAATAATGGCTTTCACCACCAGCACAACCCATCACTAGACCAGTCAACGCCCGCCAGCCCGCGACAAGACGACGACCCCGCCCATCGATATACTCCTCCCGTCTCGGGGCCCTCACACTCACGGCCGGCCAGTGGCCTATCCAACCCGACACACCAGACTCACAGCGACTATAGGCAAGGGTCTAATGAGCCCCCAAACGGCCGAAACCATGTCGTCATCAAGGTTGGCATGGTTGGCGACGCCCAGATTGGCAAGACCTCCTTGATGGTCAAGTACGTAGAGGGCAGCTGGGACGAAGATTATATTCAGACCCTAGGTGTCAACTTTATGGAAAAGACCATTTCCATCAGGAACACAGAAATCACTTTTTCCATTTGGGATCTGGGTGGCCAGCGCGAGTTTGTCAATATGCTGCCGTTGGTGTGTAACGACGCCGTGGCTATCCTATTCATGTTTGACTTGACAAGGAAGAGCACACTGAACAGCATCAAGGAGTGGTATCGGCAAGGCCGAGGATTCAATAAGACGGCAATTCCAATCTTGGTGGGCACAAAGTATGACCACTTTGTCAACTTTCCCATTCAAGACCAGGAGGAGATTTCCAATCAGGTAAGCTACATGCCAAGGGGAGGGCGCCAGCCGCGACGCGACATGTTGAGACGGAAGCAAGACAGCACCTGACCCCATATAGGCGAGAAGATTTGCCAAGGCGATGAGAGCATCATTGATCTTTTCGAGTACCAGTCACAGCATCAATGTGCAAAAGGTATGACGTACCCCGACTGAGACTGGTTTCGTTTTCCCCTCCCTCGCAAATGCCATCTGACCTGGCCATCAGATTTTCAAGATTGTTCTATCAAAAGCGTTCGACTTGAAGTGTACGATCCCCGAAATCGAAAACGTCGGCGAACCTCTTCTGCTTTATCAGTCAGTCTGATTGTAAGCCCGTCGAGATATTACTTATTTGGATAATGCTCTGCCATGCACCGTTATTGGCACGAGTTACTGGCAGTGCAATTCCTTTGATGCTGGAAAATATTGGCGGCTATTAGTCGAGGCGAATTGGCCATTGCCATGACAGCTCCCTGCGAACTTGAGAAATGCTGCCTCCTTTTAGCTGTACGATTATTTGCTCCAAATCAGATGCGGTGCTGAGTTACTGCCGGGTGGAGAGGGAGAGGGAGAGCGTTGAGGTTTTTATCCGTCAATTGTAATCATACTAACTATTATTTTCCTTTGTCGTTTTTCTGCCCTTTCAGAGGCGATGTGATTCTCCCACTGGCTATTCAATTTTACCTGGGGAGATGAAATACCGAAAAGCCGGAATAGCTCATACTGAAAGAGCATAAAAATATAGTTTATACGAAGATGGCAGCTGTCGAGAGGAATCCGTGGTCGAGCCTTGCAACATGTGCTGTTTGGATTTGGGCTGGCCCATGAGGTCAATGGCACGGGTGGTATATGTGGTAGATGGGGGAAGACAAAAAGCAACAGGGGTAGGTATACTACATTATTCATTGACAATTAGACTCATATACAGTGTAGCATGAGCAAAGCGGTGACTATTGCATTTTGTAAGTCGTGTACTAGTCCTTGCCGCATCGACTGCAGGGTCAAGCTGCATCAGTGAGTTATGAAACAAGACCTTGGTGGAAAGGTGGTGTTTGAGGCACATGGTGCAGTGATGCATCTCCCTGGCAGGACGATGCCGCGTATGCTGTTTCACACCGATGCCGTCTCCTCCATGATGCCGATATGCGTCAAGACTTTGAACTGGACCAAGGACAGAACAAGCCGCGTGTGCACAAGATGCCCACTCCTCCGGACAATGCTATCACGCTTGACCGCATCCACCCGCACCACAATGCGCGTTTTCTCGGCGCCTCTGCCACCACATGCGTGCCTGTACAGGTCACCAGGTGCATAGGCACCAGACGTCCAGCCAACCGTCCGTGGTGCGGCCAGATGCGCTCGTCCGAAACCCCCGCAGCAGAGGCAGCCAAACCTGTCGGACGTCACTAGATGTGAGTTCTATGCCAGTAGAGATGCCCTGGGGCCCGAAAACATGAACTGCCGGATTTTTTCGCTGCCTGGCCCAATCTGATGTGTGTCCGCGGGGGGGGGGTTCGCATCCCCGCATGCAAGATTTCCGATTCCGTGCCGGTGGCCCTGGCAAGCATTCCAGCCGCCCAGCCGCCCAGCCGCCGTGGTCGCTGTCGTCGTGGACAACACCAGGCGGCATTGCGCAGCTCGTCTGTGGCTTGGACGTGGACTTGACGCGGACTCGTCGTGGGCTCGACGTGGGCACCTTGGAGAGACCACTCGAGGCGAGGCAGGCAGGCAGGCCTCCGGTCCCTCGAGGAACATGCACTGTAGCTGAGCCCACTTGGTGCTCGCCCGGGATAGCGCGGCGACGAGATGCATGGCGGCGGGGCGGGTTTGCGCTGGCGCAGGAACAGGAGCCAGGACTTACGGTAGTAGGCATTAGCTGGCGGGAGCTGCATTGTCTGTAAGTGGGCGGTTCATTTCAACCGACTACTTTTAGACTTTGGGCTAATGGGCGGCGCCAAAATTACACCACGACGATGACGATGACGGGCGAGAGAAATGTCTTCCACGAGGGGCATTCACGGATTGACGGGTATGCTCGACACAAAGGGCCAATTGGTCATAGCGTCTATTCTATTCTAGGCGCATCACATATTTCTGTCTGGGTGTATTTCCCTGATCTAACGAATCGATCAATCATCTCCTTTGTATCTGTAGAATGCCAATATACCCATGTATAGCTGCCCGTGGGTTGGGGGGTCTAGAACGCCGTAAAACGCCATGCTGTCATGTACATGGCTCTCTGCTGGTCCATCAAAAACGTCCAGCAGCCTTGAAATAATTGCAGCAAAAAAAAAAAAAAAAGTGCAAGAGGGACAGTAAAATGCTACCCAAAAAAATCCCGAGCTTCGAGAGAAATGTATGTACAGAAGGGAAGAAAATGGTTGTCGCAAAGATGTTTCGGTCGACGGTATTATAAAGTAGGAGTGAATCGGGACGTAAAACGCCTAATCGCCGCCATGATGCAGTGCTTGCAAAATTGATCAACTGTCCGTACGTCTTGGCTCACGAGCGTGTCGTCTGGTCACCCCAGATAGGGGCACCGAGGGGCTTGCTGACACCGAACCCGACTGCGACGGCAATTCCAACGACCAGAACAATAATCAGGACTTTCATCATGATCCTGGTACGTCGGTTGAACCGTTGCATGAACGCACAGGTGCGGTTTTGCTTGCCCGCCTTGGCTCGCTGCTTCCAGTCGCGCTTGTTGGGCCAGACCTGGCAGTCCTTCTTCCTGGTGAGAATAACGCTGGATCGTGGTTTGTCTAGGGAGCTGTTGGTTGCCATAGCTTCGACATCTGTTTCAAATGGGTTGCTGTTGTCGGATCGGGCAGTTGTGCCGCTCGAGGTTCTCTCCAAGGGGGAGACCCGAGTAGATGGTCCCTTGGCCGTCTTTTCGGGTACTGTCAGACTGGTATTGGTCATGGGATAGCTCTGCGGCTTTTCTTCGCCCGAGGCCATGGTCGCGGTTGAACGTGAGGAGTAGGTGTTTACGGATGTTTTGCGGACGATGCCTTGGTCGACCCTAAGCTTGAAGTTAGAAAAGGGGGTGGCGGGCGGAGGCAAATGGATGCAGGAAGGGACGACCGATGGTATTTGTACAAGAGATGCTAATCCTTGTGGCGAGTGCAGACAAAAATCATGCGGCGGAAAAAAATTAAAACATTACAGTAAAGGGAACGCACGAGGCAAACAAAAAAAGAAAACGTGAAACGTACCAAGCTTGATCGAGGTCGGGGACTTGCGTGGTGGATTCACCCTCAATATGCAGGATGATACCAGCGTCAAGGGCAGGCCGAGTACAATGCCGCTACTACTTGGGGATGCGGAATGTAGAGAGCGTACTCCGAAGATGTCGGATGAGACGTCAAGTTGAAAGGGTATCAGGAGATACTTGAGGGAAAGCCTGTGTCCCTCGCCAGTACCTCTTTCGCGTTGCCCTCCTGCAAGGCGAGCTTTCTTGGCACAACAGGTGTAGTTGACTTGACGGTTGAGTGCGTATCAGCCAAAGGCGAATCGAGTGGACTGATACGTCAAAGGTACTCCGTATTTTGTACGGAGCCCAATCTCTCGAACCCAGCCACCTGACGACAATTGGTGAGGTTCCGTGTGACACAGCGCCGTGGCATGAGCGGGGAAACAAACAGAATTATTTAATGTTGCCTTCTGCAGAATAGTTTGCCGGACAAAGAAATCTGGCGGAATGGAGAGTCGGCGAGCAGTTTAGATTAATGAAAATAGAAAAGGAAGAGAAAGGATCGACTGTGGTAGTCAATTGCGTTTGGAATGAAAACGGGAACGGCCAAGGTTTTGTGACTCTGGGGTCACACTGTGGCTGGAGCGGCACAGGTCAAGCGAGACTGGCGCTCAGCCAGTCCAGGGAGAATTGATAAGACCCGGATGTGGAACTAAGGAATAACAACGTGAGCGTGGGCCATTGGTCTTGGTCTTGGGTTTCGGGCCCTTGGTCATGGACTTTGAAGATTTACCCGTGGGTAGCAGCAATGGCACCTGGCAACTTGGAGCATTGAATGATGTCTGGTACTGTGCTTGATAGTAGTTATTGACTGCCAGACAAGTCATACAGCTGGGCACAGCTGCCACCGTGCGTCTGTAAGGGGACGATGAAAATGCAGACCTTTGAGGCAGGTGCGACTTCCTCTTTCGTTGAATTTCCTTTGTCCTCTGCCCTCCGCCCTCTGCCGTCTGTTCTCTTAACCACCGCCATGCAAGCCCCTCTCCTTCGACCTCAAGACTCCGCACGCCTCATCAACCAACAACAGCCTCTTTGCATTTTGCCGGGCCTATTCCACAGGCTGTACGGAGTAGCGAGTACGATATGGACATGCAGGCTAGGCACGTCTGCGGCCTCGCCAGACAGCTGCCACAAACGGGTCAACAGATCTCGAGCGCCGTCTCCCTACTTGCCAACCTTGCCTCCCACCCATGCAACTACAGGCCATCCCATGTCGGCCAATCTGCACTTGGATATGTCCAAGCCCGCTGGGTCCCTTTACCATTACGGGCACTAGTGGCCTCGGACACGCCAATTTAGCGGCAAACGAATACAACCTTGCCCTGGGCTCTGGGACACTACTCCAGACTTGAGATGAAGGAGCTTGGGACCGATCACCATATCTAATGGCAGCTATGCCCACAACAAACAAATCCATTGTACTCCGTAGGCTACTCCAAAAGGGTCTCCAAAAGTCATCGCTTGCATCACCAGTTTCGACATGGTCGAGGGCTCCAACTCGAAGCACAGCCGCCAAATGACCGAGAGTTCCCATCTTGGCCTGTTCTCAACCAAGGCGCACCTGAGTCAAGAGCCCAGGCCTGGCGCAGGCTTTTGATAAAGCCTTGGCCGCACCACACCGCCAGCCCGGCAGGGGTTCTTTGAATCGTCCAAGGATCGTCTGTGGGTTCAAGCAGACAACTGCTTCCATGGCGGGCACCCGTTTCCACGCGGCTTCCTGGCTTCACCATTTTTATTATGGCGCACAGTTTGGGGTATTGGCAAGGGATGGAATCGCCCAGATTAATATGTTCCCCCATTTCCTACCAGTCCATTCTTTAGCTTTTACCGAGCTTGTGTTTCAGAACTTGAACCCGTCATTTATGTACTCTACCATTCGCTGGCTCACTGTTGCGGCGCCAGACCCTGCGGACCTTGTATTGTTGCAGCAGAATTCCCATGGTTGAGGCATCAGTGTCCACTCGAGTTGGGGTCTGAAACGGAACAAGCCGCAATGCATGGCTTGTCATCTCTGCTCGTGGCTTTGGCCTTCGTGCGTTGCCGCTAGACCGGTGAACCAATACGTCAAGTAC